GTGTTGAGAGTGCATTTCAGCGATTTCCCCAAGTACCTATTCTTTTTAATTCTATCCAAAAAATACATAAAGATCGAATAAAATCATGAAAAAACCTTTATTTTTGAGTTTTTAAAGTAAAAAAGGCTTTTAAAGGCTTTTTAAAGGCTTTTAAAGACTTTAAATGTAAAGCTAACCGTGAATTTCCCTGTTCGAATCGCTACTCCAAGTCCATCGCCTTCTGTACAATAAGAGCCCTGAATTTTTTCGAGATTTCTTAAATGAGTGTTTCATTAAAAGGTAATTTAAATACATGTATGGCGTTGACGTTTACGAAATTCTGCCTTTAAGCAAAGATTTGTTAACAGCTAGCTGATAATGAATGATTAGCAGCTAGCCGTTAGCAGCTAGCCGTTAATAGCTAGCCGATAATGAATCTTCGTTAACAACTAACCGTTAACAACTACAGCTAGCCGTTAACAGCTACAGCTAGCCGCTAATAGCTACAGCTAGCCGTCCACAGCTAGCCGACAACAGCTACAGCTAGCCGCTAATAGCTAGCCGTCCACAGCTACGGCTAGCCGTTAATAGCTAGCCGTTAATAGCTAGCCGTTAATAGCTAGCCGTTAATAGCTAGCCGTTAATAGCTAGCCGTTAATAGCTAGCCGTTAATAGCTAGCCGTTAATAGCTAGCCGTTAACCCCCCCCCCCCAACATAGCCATAGCCGTCCACAGCTAGCCGTCCACAGCTAGCCGTCCACAGCTAGCCGTCCACAGCTAGCCGTTTTTCTTTTTTTTTTTTTTTTTTTTTTTTTTTTTTTTTTTTTTTTTTTTTTCCCTTTTCTCCTCACAGCTAGCCGTTCACAGCTAGCCGTTCACAGCTAGCCGTTCACAGCTAGCCGTTCACAGCTAGCCGTTCACAGCTAGCCGTTCACAGCTAGCCGTTCACAGCTAGCCGTTCACAGCTAGCCGTTCACAGCTAGCCGTTAACAAATGATTCCTTAACGACTAGCCGCTAACGAATCATTCGTTAACGGCTACGACATACATAAAATCCTTTTATTGACCTTAAAGCGATATTTTTAGCGTCAAAGGCTGAAATATGAGCAGCTGCCATCATTGCTGTATATTCTGAAGCATTACGATGACCTGGAATTTGTTTTTGAAAGATTTTGGAAAGATTTTAGCGTCTAGAATTTTTTGTTTAATATTATCTAGAGATTAGAGGTTCTAGAGCCTCTAGAGCTTCTAGAGGTCTAGAGATCTAGAGTTCTATCGGTTCTAGAGATTCTAGAGGTTCTAGATCTTCTCTAGACCTTGAGAAGCCATAAACTGAAGAAAACAGCAGACCTGTCACTTCGGAGGACTCGATCTTGAGACAATGCGCTTGCAAAAGTCGCACATCTGCCGGAATTCGTGACCCGGCTCTGGATTTAGCATTAGAAAGTGAAAAACCAAACGAAAACAGATTTGAGCCTTTCAGTTGATCACCTTATCAAAATGCCCCACCAAACCATTTCACTTTCGCTTAAATCTTTATTTTTAAAGCTTTAGTTGAACAAATCGTTCACAATAATGCAATTAAAGCAAGCACCTAAGCCCTTAATCTATAAAAAACCCCATATAAGAAAAAATGAATCAATAATCGAGCTGACGGGATTGAACCCTTGACCTCTCGACTATGATACAAGGCTCTTAGCCAGTTGGCCATGAGGACCGAGCGGGCCCCTTCATGGAAACCGATCCTTATCTCAATCTCTCTAGAAAAATGAAGATTAAGATTGATAAGATGTACTAAAATCCATCCATGATATGATGTAACAACATCATTTTTCATGCTTGACCTTGGATGGGATCGAACCCTCGACCTTCCCCTCTTCCTGCTCTAACCGACTGAGCTATGCGGTCTCGGTTTGCCGGAGAGGAACAAGGGAATACAAGGGAAAGAATGGTAAAGAAACATTCAAATGCTCGATCTTGGATAGGATCGAACCCTCGACCTCTCTAAGGCCCTTTCCGCTTCCCAAGCTGATGCTCTAACCGACTGAGCTATGTTTGCGTCTGTTTGCCAGAGAGGAAAAAGGGAATACAAAGAAATAAAGAATGGATGGAACCATTGACCTTGGATGGGATTGAACCCTCGACCTCCCCTTCCCCTTTCGGCTTCCTAACCCGGTGCTCTAACCGACTGAGCTATGGGGTCTCCGTTTGGCAGAGAAGAAAAAGAGAATAGAAGGGGAATTACAAGGGAAGTAAAGATTGGATCGAATCCTTGACCTTGGATGGGATTGAACCCTCGACCTTCCCGCCTTCCCGCTTCCCAAGTTGATGCTCTAACCGACTGAGCTATGCGACCTCTGTTTGGCAGAGAGGAAAAAGGGAATACAAGGGGAATACAAGGGAAATAAAGAACGGCAAAGAAAGGATCGAACTCTCCCTTGGATGGGATTGAACCCTCGACCTTCCCCCTTCCCAATCCGATGCTCTAACCGACTGAGCTATGCGGTCTCTTTTTGTCTGTTTGAAAAAAGAGAATACAAGGGAAATAAGTGACCGTATGACGACGATGTCCCCGACAACAACTTCGACCAAATCGATCTCTTTCTCTTCACAATCTCTGATCACAAACGCATTGATAGGAAGCAATTTTTTGAAATTTTGTTGTACCTAAATGAAAGTTTGAAAGTTATCACAAATGAATCACAAACAATTCGCGTTTTTCTTTCTTGATGAATTGACAGAGCTGACATAAAGAAGATAACGCCGAGAAGAATCGCGGCACAATAAAGATTGAGTGGTTCATTGAAACCGTGAGCCAAATGCACAAAATAGGTGATCACTGAGAGCATTGCAGCGCCTGGAAATCAGAATCTCTTTCTCCTTTCCTCCTCTATGAATCAGTGTGCTAGAAAGCAGGCGTTTAGTAGCTGCGTCGAGTTTTGATAGGTAAAGTGACAATCAGATAGATAAAGTAACACTTGCTAGATATCATTCGATGCAGAATTTCCCGCTGATTCCGAATCTCCTTTCCGTTTCTCATTTGAAGCACTCTATCAAAAGTTATTCGAGTTTAAAGTTAAACTCGAATAACTTTTGATAGAGTGCTTCAAATCAGAAATGGAAAAGAGATTCGGAATCAGGGGGAAATTCTGCGTCGATTGGCTTTTGGCTGATGTCATTTCAGTGCTATTTGAGCTTCTTTTGGAATTTCTTTTCACCTGTAAGTAGAACCCAGAATTTGAAGTGAAATTGAGAGACGAATGATCGAATCAGACTCGTCTCTTTCGGCGGATCGATCACATTCAAACCCCCATCTTTCAAACGTTTTCTAAAATCTCTTGAACTTTTAAAGAGACTAAAAGCTTTTCTTTTTAATTTGTTAAATAATTCTAGTCTTGAAATGAAAGATCGAGTGAATTGAATGTTATAGAAAGGAAGCTCTGACGATAAACGAGATGAGCAAGAAGATGTGAGAGAGGATCAAGCGCAGAGAATCCAGAATCCTGAATCCTGAATCTAGAATCCAGAATCCAGAATCCAGAATCCTGAATCCTGAATCCTGAATCCTGAATCCTGAATCCTCAATCCTCAATCCTCAATCCTCAATCCTCAATCCTCAATCCAGAATCCTGAATCCTGAATCTAGAATCCAGAATCCAGAATCCTGATTCCCAAAGCCAAAGCTTTTAGAATATATTAGAAGATAACAAAAGATAACAATAGCTTTTGAAAGTCGAGTTTTTAACTTTTCAAAAATGCACCTAGCCTCTTCTGACGTCAATCCATCCGAACGAATCGGATCCGGCGCATAGATGAACGAATCCGGGTAAACATCCTGTAAATTGAATGTAACTTTAGATTTTACTTTAGATAAATATCGTAGAAGAAGTAAAAAGACTTTTGAAAACAAAATAGACTTTTTTTCTTTGTTGTCGCGTAGGAGACGGACAGACGGACGGACGGACAGATAGACGGACGGACGGACAGACGGACGGACGGACAGACAGACGGACGGACGGACGGACGGACGGACAGATAGACGGACGGACGGACAGACAGATAGACGGGCAGACAGACAGACAGACAGACAGACAGACAGACAGACAGACGAACGTTTTATTTTTTTGTATATAGTAGATTAACTTTAATGGAAAAAGCAGAGGGCGGACTCGAACTAGAGATGCTCCGCCTTGTATTCGGACGCACTGCCACTCAGCCACTACTGCCACTTTATTACTTTATTACTGTAGTATATTGTTTAACGTTGTAGTTTTATGATAAAAGAGATCTGATTTTATGCCTTAGGTAGACTCAAACCTGGAGCTGATTGATGGACAAATGATGTTCGACAAAAGAGCTCATCACATCGTTTCTAGCCTAGAATTCGGAGTCAGATTAGAGTTAGATTAGAGCTGAAGCTAGAGCTAGAACTAGGACTAGAGAACCAGAGCTAGAGCTAGAACTAGAACTAGAGCTAGAGCTAGAGCTAAAGCTAGAGCTAGAACTAGAGCTAGAACTAGAACTAGAGCTAGAACTAGAACTAGAACTAGAGCTAGAACTAGAACTAGATCTAGAACTAGAACTAGGAGCTAGAACTAGAACTAGTCTTGTCAAAAGCGACGTCTTTTTTGCAAGGATTGCTTTTTATCCTTGTAAGGATCCAAGCTCTAAATTGCTAGCATTCGTGCTGGAGACTAACATCCGTAGTGGGGACCTAAATCAGAACCAAATCATTCAAATTCCGCTTTTCAGTTCTGGTTCTCTGCTGGAGCTAGAGCTAGAACTAGAGCTAGAACTAGAACTAGAGCTAGAGCTGAGGAGAGCTAGGAGAGAGCTGGAGCTAGGGCTAGAGCTAGAGCTAGAGCTAGTACCCTCATTTGCATCATGAGTATCGTGCCGAACTCTTCGACGTCGCGAGAAAAAGCGACTGATTCCGGACGATTGAGCTAAAGATTTTGTTATGCAAATCGATTTTAGAACTCGATTTTCTATCCTTATACAAAGATTACATAAGAAAAAAGAAAATCCAGTGATTTGAAGTTTTCGAAATCGTTTTAAAAGCCAAAATCCCCAAATTACCGTCATTTTTCGGCGTTGAAACGCTCGCCTTTTGGAAAGCCTCATTTCCGGTATCTAAAATTTGGAAATAACAAGGAAATAACAGTTTATACAGTAGGCGAGAGCTTTGTTAAGCTCTCTACACGCTAGCACGAACAGCTGAAGCTACAGTAAGCTACAGTAAGCTACAGTAAGCCACAGTAAGCTACAGTAATCTTGTTTTACAGTGATACTGTAGCCTGTTTCTAGACGGATTTCTAGACAGATTTTCCAGACAGATTTTCCAGACGGATATGAAGATACGGTAAAGGCTCAGCTTCTTCCTGCTTCCTGCTTCAGCCCATCAAGCCCAAATGAAGCTTTGGCTATAAAGGTGTGCTTTTAGGGGTTACTGTAGCTATTTAAATAGCTTTAGCATAGCTTTATAGCTCTGCTAGCTTCATAGCTCTAGCATAGCTTTAGCATAGCTTTAGCATAGCTCTACCATAGCTTTAGCATAGCTCTAGCATAGCTTTATAGCTCTGCTAGCTTCATAGCTCTGGCATAGCTCTGGCATAGCTTTATAGCTCTAGTATAACTTAACTAATAACTAATTCGTCTTCTAAAAGCGCCCCTTTTCTCTCGACTACCGTAATCAAGCCGCCTACCGTAGTCTAGACAAGATCGACTACCCTAATCAAGACGTCTACGTAATCCAGACAAGATCGACTACCGTAATTTAGACGTCTACCGTAATCAAGACGCCTACCGTAATCCAGACGTCTACCGTAATCCAGACAAGATCGACTACCGTAGTCCAGACGCATGCCGTAATCCAGACAAGATCCACTACCGTAATCCAGACGTCTACCGTAATCCAGACAAGATCGACTACCGTAGTCCAGACATAATCCAGACGCCTACCGTAACCCAAACATCTACCATAATCAAGCCATCTACCGTAATCAAGACAAGCTTACTGTAATCCAGTCGTCTACCGTAAACAAGACAAGATCGACTACCGTAATCCAGCCGCCTACCGTAAACAAGATAAGGTCGACTACCGTAATCTAGCCGCCTACCGTAAACAAGATAAGATTACCGTAATCAAGACGTCAGCTGTTTAAAGAACGTCTACAAGAAACGGATTGGACTCGTTAAACTTTGAAAAGACTCACCCAACACCATGACGATCAATGGGCGTATTTCATCTCGAAGCCAATTAAGTTGAAGCTGTAAGCCAATTGAGTTGAGTCCCAGCTCGAAAACTGGGACTCAACGAGAGCTGTAAGCCAGTTAAGTCCCAGCTCGAAAGCTGGGACTCAACGAAAGCTGTAAGTCAAACTCTTCAAAAAATTCAAAATAGCAAAGATCAGTAATGGTTTTTGCGAAAATTCCCGATCAATTTTTAATCCTTTGATCTTTATTCGTTTATTCATCTTTTCAAACGAAAGTGATGTGATTTTTTTTGGGGAAAAATAATCCCTAAAGAGGTTTTTGCTAGGCGAGAAACCTTTTCTAGAAAGTTTTAAAACCTTTTTTGATTTCAACTAGCCAAAGAAGTTGTCAAAAAAGTTGTCAAAAAAGCTGCCAAAGATTAGCGACTTGTTTGGCTTTCAAACTAGACCAGTGACGACTTCTTCTTTGTCAAAAAAGCTGCTAAAAAAGTAAAAAGTCCAAAAAAGCTGCCAAAAATAGAAACACATCTCTTCTAGTGTACTGAATTTCTTTCTTTTCCAAAAGAATCAGAAATCAGTGCACTAGAAAGCTAATGTTAAAGCGGGGTTTTAGCGCTTAAAGTCAAAAAGAGATCGATTTAAAATCGAGGATTTGGCAGTGGTGGTGGGTGATTTTGTGACGCGGGACAATGAAAGGGGGATTTCGCTGAGCTCAGCGAGTGCACAGACACTCAGCTAACCGCGTTACGCATCATTTATGGCATCATTTATGACAAAAAACGATCGCGATGCTGTTTTCTCTGTTTTTTTCTGTTTCCTTATTCGAAATCACTGGTCTATTTTGAAAATTCGGATAGTTAATCGCTCGAAATTCGTCACTTTTCGCGTTTTATCTCTAAAAAGCCATCAATTTTTGTTCAAAAACTAGCTCAATCCTCTAGACTAGCTCAATCCTCTAAACTAGCTCTATCCTCTAGACTAGCTCAATCCTCTAGACTAGCTCAATCCTCTAAACTAGCTCTATCCTCTAGACTAGCTCAATCCTCTAGACTAGCTCAATCCTCTAAACTAGCTCTATCCTCTAGACTAGCTCAATCCTCTAGACTAGCTCAATCCTCTAAACTAGCTCTATCCTAACCCAAGCTCAATCCTCTCTAGACTAGCTCAATCCTCTAAACTAGCTCTATCCTCTAGACTAGCTCTATCCTCTAGACTAGCTCAATCCTCTAAACTAGCTCAATCCTCTAAACTAGCTCAATTTAGTCTAATTCTTATATCCAACTAAAGCTAGCTGATTCCCTTATTAAACAAAAAACAAAATTCGGATATGGATGCCTTTCGGAAAACGAATTAGACAAGAGGCAATGATTAGGGAAATTTAAATTGATATTCAGTTAAGATAAGAGAATTACAGTATCCCTGGATTTCTCTGGGATATTCAGGGATATTTAATGTTTAATTCAAGTTTAATGATATTCAGTTAAGATAAGAGAATTACAGTATCCCAGGGAAATCCAGAAATACCGTAATTCTCTTGTCTTAACTGAATATCATTAAATCCAGGGATACTGTAATTCTCTTCTTAACTGAATATCATTAAACTTCGACGATAAAAGATCCACTTGAACTTTATCGTTTCGTAAACGTAAACACTCGGCGTCTAGCATACGGTGCATTGCTTCTGTGCGCCAGATGACGAAAGTTTACGCGAAAAATCTCAAAGTTCATGCGGGAAATCCTCGTCGAATTCCCGGGTTTTCCCCTGGGTTTCAAGATCTGTTTCAAGTTTAACTTTTTCAAAAAAAAGATTTCCCCTAAAAGTGACGTGATGCGATGCGCAGCAGAGAGGAGAGCCGAAAATACTCATAAATTCGGTTTGAGTATTTTCGAGAGAGGAATCGGCGAGGTGAATCGACTGGGCTATGATCAGGGCACGTCGAAAAAAAAGAATAGACAAATAGTCAGAGGATTTGTGGGGGTAAATGATAAGTTCAAAAGGAATTGCAGATTAAAGGAATCGTAGATCCAAAATCAAATCATTAAAGAATTACGAGTTTTAAACGATTTTGAAGAGATTTCACATTGACAGCTAAATGGATTGAACCCCTAAAATTCTTAACTTCTTGGAGCAAAGATTATTCTGGGTCGGGAAATCAATTGAAGGAAAGGAGAGACAAAAAAAAATAAATGGAAATTTGTCTCATAAAAGTTGAAGGGGCAAACTCGCGACAAAGGGGCGTTAATTTCCGTGCGCAATCAATTCCATTCATTCATTGAGAATGGGGAAAGGAGAGCGATTTTGAGATGAGAGAAAATGAGAAAGGCGGATGCGTGAGAGAGAATCACATCCATCACTCGAGAGAGAGAGACGAATTTTTGATCTCGAACTTGCATCGGTCTCTCTTTCTTTCTTTCTTGCGCACTCTTTTACATGATTCTTTTCGTCGGTGAGCAGATACTTGTCCGGATTTTGCAAGTGATAATCGGTAAATCTGTAAGCAATCCCACGTTTCACTTTACCTGCTACGATTGATTTACTGTTGATCCCATGCATTTTCCAGAAAAAAACCGGTTCTCAATCTAAATATGTTTACTTGAACGAAAAACAAAACTCAACAAATGAAATACAACAGAAAAATACGACTAAAAGCTAAGTTGCTGGTTACCAAGAAAGGAAACAGTACAGAGTATGTATAAGTGATTTGGAAGAAAATCTAAAGATTGATACAATTTCATTAATCACAAAAAGTATATTATAAATATGCAAGCTCGTAGGAGATGCTATAGGGGCAGAAAGTATCACAAACCAAGAACAAAATCAGTGTTGAGTCCATTGGATAGATTTCAGATCGATTCCTTCTTGCACCATCTCCCAGAGAGGTGAGAGCTCACGCAACCGATGTACCTCTTTCAGGCAAAGATCCACCGTGTGCCGCACCTAAAATACAATATTTGAAACTGGAAATATAGGTAAGTGCTCAAAGTTCATGCGCTAATCTTAAAAGCAAACTCTTTCAATTTGCATAACTCAATTTCCATTAAGACTGATAGGTCTTAATTTCTACAATTTACATTTAAAGGTCAAATAAAAGGAAACGTTTCTTGTGCCGATTATCATTCACTCGTCGACAATGTCTTCGGCTCGCTTCATTCCTTCTTCCTATTGCCACGAAGTCTGCGAGAAGCCGGCACCACGACCACCAGCTGCCCCAATCGTCGAGGAGGACCCCATAGAGGAGGAGGAGGAGGAGGTACGCTTGTTTATTTGCTTTTTTTGTTTTTGCGTTAAATCAATTCATATTTTCTCTATTTCTACAGTAGACCCATTATTTTTCTTCTGAAAGCTCGTAGAGCTACAGTATTTTGCATTTCTTTAGATGGCTTCTACCCTGAGTGCTCCTCCACGTATGGTTATGACACGGGTGCCATCGACGACCTCGCAGCCAGCTCCACCACCTCGTGTCATGCAAATCCGACCCGAGCCGATCTACTCTTCGTATGCCCAGGGCGCCGTCATCCCTCCCGCCTACTATATGCAATATCGTCAGCCTGAACGTGTCGCTCCATCGACCCCAATTGCTCGTACTGCCGTTGAACAGGTTACTGTTTGCTTTCTTAAACATTCTATTGTTTTCTTTAGCCATCGACTCCGAATGTTCATGTGCACGATGATGAGACTTGTCCATACCGGCAACATGTGACCCCACAGAAGATTGCAGCCACTCCCCGTCGTCGATCCACCAACAACGCGCCACCACCACATCAAATTCCGCAAATGCTTGAAGCTGCTGAAGGATACACCTACGAGCCCTCTTCGTATGCGCTTGGTCAACTCAACGAGCAGCTTGCCCGTGCTCCCGCTGCTCATCCACTTGGCGCCAAGAAATCGAGTAAGCATTGTCGGATTTTTGTTTTTTAGTCTTTTATTTTAGTTTATGCTCCAGTGGAACAGGAAATCGACGCTGGCGCTCCTCCATCAACTCCATCTTATGTTCAGACGACCATGGAGACCACACAGCCTCACTCGTCTCAGGCGAATGCTCAACTCGGCGCCCACAAGCACACTCCGATCCAGGCACCCGAAGTGAGTGAGCTGTGTTTCGGGGTTTTATTATTAGGATGGCTATGAGATTTTAATTGGTCAATTCTAGGCTTCAACTCCACGTGGTGTCCACTTCGCTCCATCGCAAGCTCAACCCGCCTACCCTCAAGAGACAATCGCAAAGACGCACAAAATGATAGCAGCGATGTCGGCTTATGTGGGAGGAGTTCCCAACGATCTCATGGCCGCCTATCAGACGGAAAATCTTCCATCCGCTTACCGGCAGAAGACGTACAAGGGCACTAATTACTTGAACCAGGTTAGCACTAAATTTTGTTCGCATCTACTGAACTTTTTTAGCAATCCGGTGGTCCGTCCGATTATCACTTCCAACACCAGCCATCACCACAAGCTTCAACAGTCACTGCGGATATTCAAGTACGTCTTTTCTTTTTGATTTTGCCATCTAAACTCTTTTTGTTAAGGATGATGAAAGTGCTAGTCGTTCTGGCATGGTGCCAGCTGGTGGACAAGATGCCGCCCTCAACATGGATCAGATGGGAATGGCTCTGGATGAAATCTATTCTCAGGTACTCGTTTTGGCTTTACTAAATCACTGAATTTGTATTTAGCTCCCCGGTCACGCTTTTGCTCCTTTGAACATGCCTCCCTGCTCGGAATACCAATTCGATCAACTCCAGGATTTGGCCAGCTGCTTCTGAGCAACGAAAAGAAAAGTTATCACCCATATATCCCTGTTTTTTCTTGCTAATTTGGCTGGTTAGCCGCTTTTTAACAACGGATCATTTTATGGGTGTACTGCTCTCGGGATTGTAATAAACGATTGTGTTAGAAGAGATTTTAAAGTCAAGTTTAACTCACGTCATTTTCGGTGGTAAAACGACCAATTCCAAAACGAATACTTGAATGGGCAAGATCTTCTTCGGCACCAATAGCACGCAATACATAGCTAAACATGGAAATGATGGAAAAGGAAATAATAAACTAGCAACGTAAAAATCTATGAACAACTTACGATGGTTCGAGTGAAGCAGATGTGCAAGCAGAGCCCGATGAAAGCGCGATAGATTTCAAAGCCATCAATAATGATTCTCCTGAAAGGGCTAACTATCAATAGCTGAAAATTGAAATTTACCTTCCACATAGGCAAAACTCAAATTAACACAGCCAGGGTATGTCCTTTCAGGGTCACCATTTCTGATGATGTGTGGCAATTTCTTTTGAACACCATCAATCAGTAACTTCGAAAGGCGATCAACATGTGCTCGATCCATATCTTAAAATGTAAAATAAAGCGGCCGAATTTTTGAATTGAACTAACCCATTTCATCATTAGCAATTCGACACGCTTCTCCAATACCAACGCATAATGGCGTGGCTAGGGTCCCGCTGCGCATTCCTCGCTCTTGACCACCACCGCTGCAATTTTTAAACGCTTATTTGTACATTAACACCCAAATTTACCTCATCTGAGCCTCAAGACGGACTCTAGGCCTTCGTCTTACATACAATGCACCAACACCTATAAATACTTAAGTAGTAGTTGTCAAAAACCGTTTCTAAAATACCCTTTGGTCCGTATAGTTTGTGACCAGAAATGCTCATCAAATCAATCTTCATATCATTGACATCGATTGGAACCTAAAATGTTAAATTGAATTGCTCAAAAAAATAGGTTGTTTACCTTTCCGGTTGCCTGCGCAGCATCAGTATGGAAATACACTTTCTTAGCTCGACATATTTCACCTATACAAAAACGATATTTTTAAATATTTTGATTAAATTACCAATTTCTTTCATGGGCTGAATTACGCCAATTTCATTGTTTACGAACATGATGCTGACCAAACAAGTTTCTGGAGTTATTGCCGCTTTCAGTGCCTAAAAGATTCCGGGTTAAATTTCGAAACGTTGCACCAACATTCAGATCAATGAGGCCGTTTGTTTCAACAGGTAGATACGTGACTTTGAATCCTTCAAGCTCAAGCTGTCGGCATGAATCCAAAACGCATTTATGCTCCTAAATAACAACCCTACCTTGTTACGTTTGTTAAGTTCAAATTTCGAAATTGAATTTACGCGCTATTTACCAACCGTTTGTACTGTGATCACATGATTTTTGCCAGCTTGTCGTTGAAATTTCGCCACTCCTTTCAAAGCGACATTATTCGACTCCGTTGCACCTGAGGTGAAGATTATCTGAAAATTCAAAATTGCTTGGCATATAACAATTTAAACTAACTTCTTTTGGGTCGGCTTTGATAAGATTGGCGACCTTCGCTCGAGCATCTTCAACAGCAGCTTCCGCTTTCCAGCTAAATGTTAATGATTAAAAATAATCGGCCTAAAGAGTACCCATAAGCGTGTGTTCTACTATGGGGATTTCCGAAGTCTTCAGTCATATAAGGCAGCATTGCGTCAACCACGCGTGGATCCTGAATTATTTAATAGCCGTTTTATTTTGCAAAATAAAAACCATGGGCGACGTTGCTTGCACATCTAGATAGATCGGAGCATTTGCGGCGAAGTTCGCCGGCACAGCAAGCTTCCTGGTCGATGTTATAACAAATGTCCTTAGGCCTCGCAACATTCTAAAGTGGTGAGAGTTATTACGAAAGCAAACTGGTGAAACTGACGTAAACACTAATTTTATTGCGCAATAGCTATGGTTTATTGACATTTGAATTGATAAATAGTTGCGACCTTCTAAAAGATTTTTTGCTTTTTTGAGCAAGAAATTCAAACATTTTATTTGTTCAAAATAAATGTAACAACACAAATAAAGTGAACGACAGACTCCACGACCGCCAAAAAGTCTTAGCAAGGGGTATACGAACGCGGCAGCTGAATGCCTGGATCAATTGGACACAATTATCTGGCACAATAACAAAAATCAACATCTGGTTATAAAAATACACTATCTCAAAAAATAATAGGCATGTTGAGAATCAGACAAGATATTTTACAGGAGGTGAAAATGAATTTCTAGCGATTGCAAAAGAATCATATTGATTGTTTGAAGGCAACATCTAGGCTGCTGCGTTGACATTCATCTGTTGTGGTGGATGATGAATTGCTTGTGCACGTGGAGCAAGAAGTTGTGCACCATCAGCACGTTGTTCAACCACAGGCTAAAATGGTATTGCAAAAAAGTCTGTGATAGATCAATCAACATTTCTACATAGCTATGCAAGCCTGGATCAGAAACTCGCAACTACTCTTTTTAAGGCACCATAGATTCAAAATACTTACGCGGAAGTAGGGATGACACATAGCTTCATAAGCAGTCAAACGCTCAGCATGATCGTATCGAAGTAGTTTGTCCAAAAAGTCGATAGCCTCTTGTGTAACCTAAAACGTTTTGGATGAAAAAAAAACCCCGCAACAACAAACCAGGTGCTGATTTTCCTGGTGCACAAAGCGTTCCCATCGTTTCCTTGAATGACGGCCCAAAATATCGTTGAAACGTGGATCAAGATCAATCTTAATAAGCAGGTTATATTTATTCTAAAATAAAAATAGGTACCTGATATTTCTCAATGTAGTCGTAGAGTTCTTCTGTTCCAAGCACTTTAGCAATACGCACAAGCTAAATGGTAAGGTTAAGATGGGCTAATCAGAAAGCAATTTACAGTTGACAAAATCTACCTGATCATAGTTGTCATGCCCATGGAAGAAGGGTTCCTTGCGGAAAATCATCGAAGCAAGCATGCATCCGAGAGACCACATATCCAATGAATAATCGTAAAATTGATAATCAACCAATAGTTCAGGCCCCTGAAAGCAATCTCATTTTAGTGTCAAAAGACGAAAAGATTTACCTTAAAGTATCGCGATGCTACACGAACATTGTATTCCTGATCAGGGTGATAGAACTCGGCCAATCCCCAATCAATCAGTCGCAACTGAAAAACATAAAAATTCCTGGTATTGAATTACCAATCATACCTCCCTCTTCTCATGATCAATCATCACATTGTGAGGCTTAACATCTCTAAATTTATCGGTTAGTAATAATATGAAACAACAAAAAACTCCCGGAATTTAAAAACCAACCTATGCATGATTCCCATCGAATGACAATAGTCAAGGGCCTAAAAAATAATCTTACAGGCTTCAACTCCATTTCATAAACAAACCCGTAGAAGCTCAAACAAATAGTAGCGGATATCGAAATCACTCAGCGTCTGATAGAGTTGCTTGAAGTCCGTGTTATTGACATATCTAAACGAAAAAAGTAATACATAATCAAAATTAAAGCTTACTCAAAAACAAGTGCTGGCGTTCGTGAGACGGGATCCTTGACCACATCAAGCAAGGAAATGATGTTTGTGCCTCCGCGGAGATTTTCAAGAATTTTTATTTCACGCTTGATCTTCTTCTTCTTGACCGGCTTCAAGATCTTCACAACACATTTGGCTTCTGCGCTGTCTGGAGTAGTGCGGATACCTTCGAAAACCTAAAGCCAGACGTTCATACCAATACACATCATTTAAACTTTCTGTTCAAAAGCTAGAACTTTTTCGCCGTAAATATTAAAAGCCATTACCTCAGAATACTTTCCTCTTCCAAGCTTGCGAACTAATTGATACTCGTCAATGTTTCCCCATTCAATAATATGGGTTTCGTAGTCCCAATAATCACGCGGGTTGTTTTGGTTAACCTAAATTTTACTGCATAGGACTAAAAATAAAACCACTAGCCTCAGGATAAACTTTAGCACGGCTAATAACGGGAGCCATCGAGATCCCGGGAGTTTTCCAAGCAAGAGATTCACACCTAAAAAAACAACCAGAATAGTTCGAAACGAGAAAATATTACACGGAGATTCAAATAAAGGCGTTTTGAAGCTATAGGGTTGTTTTGGGTTGGTTATGTGTCGATTAAAATGATGTCAGACTGTAATCAAATGAAATGCAGAGGCTTTAGATCAAAAGGAGGCTCCTACGGCGTTAAAACCATCAGGACTTCGACACGCGGACAGACTATTTCAAAGCGTTACAAAATTAGGAAATTTGGCGGCAAAAGACGTCGACTTGGTCTTTGACCATTAAAACATCGAGGAGTAAACGGTTGTAATCAAAGTTATCAATAACTTTGATTACAGCAACATCCGCAACAACAAATTGATGAAACGAATCAAAAAGATCAACTCGGCGAGAGCAGATCACCGAGAAAGTACGTGCGATTCGGCTTTCTGCAAGAAGCAAATCTTTTCTCAAAAATTGAGAACTCATTTCACGTGACAGTGCGAAGAGACGCGTGGCGAGACCCACTTTGGATTTGATGGGGGTGCCGCATTTGCTTTTGTTCGTGACCGCCGCGCGATTTTAGTCACCGCATTGGTACCTCGATGACCTCTGCAGTGATTGTAGTGAAAGAAAAATTTGCGCCAGAATGTTTTAATGCTGCAAAGGAAAGCGCGCGATAACTTCACAAAATTTGTGAATTTCTTTTGGCTCTCTCACTACTTTATACAGTTTATTCTGGGCTGCAAAATTCTCAATACTTTAATTGAATATTGTAACTTTTTAATGCTTAAATAACCATTTCAGCAAAATTTCTCATTTTCCCGTTTCCCTTTGTTTCTTTCTTTAAACTTTTAAACTTTAACTTTAAAGTTATCATTTTCAGGAACTTTTCACCTTTTTCGATGTTGTAGCGTGAAAACTGCGATGTGGCTTTGCTTTGGTTACGG